CCGCCCCCCCCCCCCCCCCCCCCCCCCCCCGCCCCCCCCCCCCCCCCCCCCCCCCCCCCCCCCCCCCCCCCCCCCCCTAGCTTGCGGATTATCCCAATATTTTTTGTGCCAGAAGTAAACAAAGAGATGGTGTTTTACCGTATCTGTGGGGGGACGGTAGATCAGTGCAGTAGTTTTGATTTAAGGCTGAAAGTTAAGCACGCCATAGCTGTCAAGAGTCAAATCGGACCAACTGAAGTTGGGGAGAAAGAATGACGTGCTTGCCAGAAGCCAAAAGCCATCAAGGTCCCTCACTAATTACTAATTATGTACAGTACAATACACTACAACGAAGTGGTATAAAAGGAGCCGGACCCCCTTCAGCTGATTCCCAAGACGTCCCAGACGATTAATGAGCGTCACAGGTCGTTTGTGCTTGCCAGGGGGGATCAGACCTCTGGGGGTCGTCTTGGAAACACTGATCAACTGGGGCTGTGTAATCTTCTGACGTGGATTGCGTCAAAAACTTTGAAACGAAACAGTCATGTCGACGACGCTCCTCCTCAGAAGTCCAGCCCCCACAATGTAGTGGAATGAAGCTGCATATGCACAGTCTAGTCCACTTCCGTCTTCTTCAACCCCTCAACTAATTACCTGCCTAAATCATGAAAGCCCAAACTCATTCGAAGCGGGGAAATGCCGCCCCTATCTTATTCATCCCTCCGTGGGAGTCGAAACATTCGCATTCTGGAGCTCAGTTCCGGGTCTGGCTCCGATCCCATCCAAGCCAACCTGATTGAGACCAGCGTTGACTCCGCCCCGCCTTTCGAGGCGCTCTCGTATGTGTGGGGAGACGCGACCATCCGGGAAGAGATCATCTGCGATGCAGCGCAGCTGCACATCACCGTCAACCTATATCATGCCCTCCAAAGCCTGCGACCGCCGAAGGCGAAGCGCCTCATTTGGGTCGACGCCATCTGCATCAACCAGGGCGACGTCGACGAGCGCACCCAGCAGGTCCGGCTGATGCGGGACGTCTACTCCCGCGCAGACCGCGTCGTCGTATGGCTGGGCCCGGAAAACGACGAGGACGTCCCGGCCGCGGTCGCCCTCGTGAACTGCATCTACGCCGCATGCGAGAAGGAGGCGCAGTCTGCCGGGCGGGACTTGGCATCGCTGGCCGTGGACTACCAGCCCTTCGCCGAGATAACCGAGGACGATCTGGACCCCGGCCTGGCGGGATCGCTGCGGCCGTGGAACGCCCTGCGCCGGCTCTACTCCCGCCCGTGGTTCACCCGCGTGTGGTGCGTGCAGGAGATCGTCCTGGCGCGGTCGTCTACGGTGTTGGTCGGGCCGCACTCGCTATCCTGGCTAAGCGTCGGCGTCGTGGCTTCGTGGCTGAACACGAGGGATGTCGCCTCCGACTTCGATGCCCCCGCACAGCTGGAGAAGATCCCGTACTTCAACGCGTACTGCATGTTCGATGCGAATGACGTCGCCGCGACGCTGACGAAGACGCTGGAGAAGTACCGGGACTTCAATGCGACCGACCCGAGAGACAAGGTCTTTGGCCTGCTGGGGTTGCTCGATGGCGAGGCGGATACCGTCTCAGCAGAACTTGTGGTGGTGGACTACAGGCTGGAGGTTTGGGAGGTGTATGCAAGCGTTATGAAGGCTGCTATTCTAAGGGCAAGGAACCTCGCCGCCCTATCGTTGGTGAAGCATCCGCAGGTGTTTGATGGCGATGACCCCTTTCCATCCTGGGTGGCGAGGTGGGATGGATCGACAGATGTCATGGTGCTGCACGACGAGTCGCTGGCTTATCCATGTAATGCCTGCGGAGATGATCACCCCTTGGGTGATTTTGAGCCGGATGATTCAGGAGCAGTGGAGGTCAGAGGAGTTGTCTTCGACACGGTAGCATTCACGACGGAGATGATGGACATCGACCTCTTCAAAGAGACACGAGAACTGCCCAACCACCCACTCCTCGAGGTCTGGAACGAATGTACGGCAAACCCCGGCCCTTACGAAAGCTCCGGGATGACCATCGTTAACCTGGCCTACACCTTCGCCGCCGGTCTGACAATCGACTACGCGCCGTGGTTTATTCTAGAGACCGAGGAGCGACTACAATTCTTCGCCGACTACATCGCTTACATACAACATCTGCTCGGCAACAGCACGGTCCGCCCCGGGGCTCTGGATCCGAGCTCGGTGTCATTTGATGGTGGCGACAGGCAGAGATACAAGGTGGCTGCATCGAGGGCTTGCGACCAACGACGGTTTTTCAAGACGACTAGGGGAAATTACGGCTTGGGCCCGGCATGTATGAGGGAAAGCGATGTCTTGGTTGTGCTGCATGGCGGTTCGGTGCCTTACATACTGCGTCCTGTGAGAGACCGCTTCAGGTTCCTGGGAGAGGCTTATGCCGATGATATCATGCATGGAGAAGCTTTTGGAGAGCTGAGCGATCAGTGTTCGGAGGAGAGGGCTTTTAATTTATTCTAAGAAGCAGCCTCTCAATTAGACTTCAATATGGCTAGTTAGCCCTCTTGACATAGCATGCTGCGTCTTTTAGAAAGGGATAGGACAAAAAAGAGAAGACCAGCAATCCAACAGATGGCAGAGCTTGTTCATCTCAGCAAATAGGCAGGCAGGTCCATGCTTGCCACACCCCAAAAATGTATGACTCTAGAATAGGAGATGTAGTAGAAACGAAATAGGCATGACTCCCGTTCCTCGCAAAATTCCTCCGTCTTACTCCTGGCACGGACCTGAGCTCACCCCGTCTCAATCCCTGATCGCCAATCATTCTCTGTGACGGGCGACCCTTCTGCCGCGAAAGGCACACGAAGTCACATGTTTCCGTTCTATTGGCCTCGGACCTCTTTGCTGCCTGGAATGTGAAGCGCCAAACTCCCCATCGGGATTAGGAACTGCATTCTACCGGCATTCACCCCTGCATGAGCCTTCGGTTAAGGCGCCTCCTCGCTTGACTGTCATCGTTTATTGCTTCTTTTTCTATTTAAAGAACTTGAGGAGACTGGGGTCTGTGCAAGTCAGCGGTCAGACTCGCGCGGGGTATGATTAGCATCATGGCTATATAAAGGGTTGAGGCGTCCTCCGCCCGGGGCTTGTTTTGCAGCATCAAATCCGCTCTTGCACTACATATTCCCATCAGGCGCCACTCGAACGCCCCCTCCAAGTAATTACTGCCCTCCAACACATCCCATCCACAAGTATGGCTGCGAACCCCTACGGTCAGATCTGCTGGCTCGAAGTGCCCGTGACGTCGGTGTCTCGTGCCGCAAAGTTCTACTCCTCCACCCTAGGCTGGGAGAGCAAGGACACCAAGGGTGGGCCGTCGCCGATTGCCGGTGTGAAGTCGGCCCATTTGTTCAGCAACGGCACACTCCATGGCGCCTTCCTCCTCATGTCGGACCAGGGCGCAATTGCCCAGGTCGCCGACCCCAACAGGCTGGAGAAGAGCGCGCTGGTTGCGACGTTTTTAGTGGAGAGCATCGAGGAGACAATGACGAAGATTGAAGCTGCTGGTGGGAAGTGTCATATGTAAGCAGCTCTTTTAATTACTTGTCTCTCCACGTCATCTTTTCTAACTTGTTTTAGCCCCAAGACTGCGGTTGGGGGAGGAATGGGTTACCTTGCTCGATTCATTGACACTGAGGGCAACCTTGCGGGAATATGGGCGAAGCAGTAGGCTATAATTATGACTGTGGAAAGAGCTACGGTAGCAGCTTGGTAATGGAGCTATGAAGTAGAGGCAATCAGCGGACAATTGACACTTGCTTCTAAAGCGAAAAGCTGCCATGGTTATTCGGAAGGGGAATTTAACAGTAGCAGGAATATCAGTGAGGGTTATTATTCACGTGATTTTGTTGATACGGGGGATTCCCAATTGTTGATATGACAGCACGCTGACGTCGTTTTTGGGTCCCGATTGGGTTCCAATGGGGAGAAAATCGGCAACACCGGCTACCCAGTTTTCACAGTTCAAAAAATTTGTATGTCCGGCCCGATGCCTCAACCCTATCCCGGGTTCCATGCCCAGCATTTTAAACCATGCCCGGAGAAGACCAGGCTTCGGACTCTCAAGAGCATGCGGCCAACCGCCAAGACCAAGAGATTGTCTCGGAAAATGAAGAGCCGCAGCAGCAACGACGACAGTGGACACTGCCCGCATGGCTAAACCATTTCAACATCCATGATCTCAAAATTCTCTTCCGCTGCTGGGCAGCAACATGGGTCGCCACGATTCTCATCTTCATCGGCCCTGCGCTCAACAGTATTGGTATCGCCACTTTTTTCGGCTCGCTGCTGCTGTACATCGTGCCGCCGGCCAGCATCTTATTTGTCTATCTACTCGCCTCTCTCTCGCTCCTCCTGGGCATGTGCCTCGGATGGGCCTGGGGCCTACTTACGATGAAGGCGGCATTAGCAGCACGACCAGCGCCGGAGACGCAGGCGAGGTTCCTGGCCCTCCAGCAGCAGGCTGCCGTGCAGGCCCAGCAATCCGGCGAGAGCGTAACCTGGGAGGCGCAAAAGCTTGTCCATGACGGCTTCATGCTCGATGCTCGTGTAACGGTGGTGTTCTACGTCATGTGCTGCGTGTTTGTGTACACGCTGGCCCGTTTGCGGTGCAGTAACGCCAAGCTGGTCCTGATGCAGCTCTTTGGCACCATTATTGTCGATATCTTCTTGCTATTCGGACCGACGGTACCGACATTCACTGCGAATCTGGCCTCGGTCCTGGTGAAGCCGGCTGCTATAGGCATTGGCCTAGGCGCCGCATGCTGCCTCCTCTTCTTTCCCCAGTCAACCTCATACGTGGTGCTTGACAAGATGGAGAAGCTCATTCGCATGGTGGAGACGTCGCTGGACTCAACTCGGAGGCGTCTAGCGAACGAACCAGTGCAGCTGGATAAGTTGAGAGCCGCCCGGGGCCAGATGATTACCGTCTACAAAGCTATGGAACCGACCCTTGCATTCCTCCCCCTCGACTTTTCGCGCGGCCGCTGGAACGCAGACGACGTCAAGGGGCTGCAGGGGCGGATCCGTGAGGCCATGTTTGCGAGCCTGTCCCTCATCGACTTTCACATCACGAGGATAGCGGCTGTGCAGAAAGAGGAAAAGTTGGAGATGCAGAAAGCAGCCCAGGATGCAGGTGAAGGAACAGCTTCTGAGAAGGACGGTCATACAATTGGCCGTCGTCAGTTGGAGGAAAGCGCAGACTTGATGAATGCTCTCAAGAGTCCCGAGCAGGGCGCGATGCGCGCTCGCGCATTAGAGTCGCTGAGAGGGACTACTGCTGAAGTCTTGCAGGTCTGCTCGCAATCCATCAAGCTCGTTGCGCAGTGCATCCACACCGTCAATACTTGCCGATGGACTGGCAAACCTTCGCAGCAGAAGTTTGACGACTTGGCCAAAGAGCTGCAAGACACATTGGCAACGCTTCGCTCGGCCACAGCGACCTGCGTCACAAACACTACCGAAGGTGTCCTGGAAAGCCATGCAGATCTCTTCGACAAGGACGGCAAGCTGAAGTATTCGGAGAGTCTCAGCCCTCCCTCGCTGCAAGGGATAGTCATCTCCATGGTCATTGAAGAGCGCATACTGGGCATGGCAGTGGCAATAGAGAAATTGCTGGAGCATGTTCTACAGCTCACGAAGACGCGAACCGTCCACCGCATCTGGGTCCCCTCTCGTCTACAGTATGCGGTCTCCTGGCTATTCAACGGCAAGCTTTCTGTCTCTATCTCCGGCATCTCGACCGACGCCGCCGCCGATCCCGACCGTCTCCTTGATTCTGCTACGCTTCAGGAGCAGGCCAAGGAAGCTCGCCGACAGCTGCGCATCAGTCGAAAGTACTACGACTTATCTGCACGGAGGAGCCCCTTGAGCCGTGCCATCGTCGGCACGTACAAGTGGCTCACCAACCCAGCCGGTATGTATTCGCTCCGCATGGTTGTCGTGACCATCGCAACGTCCATCCCCGCGTCTATCCCGCACTCGGCCGGCTTCTTCTACCGCGAGAAGGGCATATGGGGCGTCATCAGCGCTCAGACGTGTCTACTCTTGTACATGGCCGACTTCACCTTCTCCCTCGTCTCCCGTGGGCTCGGCACGGTGATTGGCGGTGTCATGGGTATGGTAGCGTGGTATATCGGGTCCGGTAACGGCCCAGGGAACCCGTATGGCATGGGAGCCATCACGGCCGTCATGATTTTGATACTCATTTGGTGGCGTATCTTCCTGCCACCAGCATTTGCGCAAGCAAGCATCATGTCGGGGGCCACCTTTGCCCTCGTAGTCGGCTTCAGCTACGACCAACACCACATCAACCAGTACGGGCTCCCAGGAGTAGGTTACGAGGCATTCTGGAAACGTTTGGTAACGGTCCTGCTGGGCTTCGTCGCTTCAATCGTTGTCCAGCTGTTTCCGAGACCCCCTTCGGCAACCAAGCACGTGTGCAAGACCCTTGCGAATACGGTGCGAACCCTGTCAGATCACTACGCTCTCCTACTCTCGCATTGGGGTCGGACGGATCAGAATAGCCCGCTGGGCGCGGTGGCGGAGCAGATTTCCCTCGAGGTATCAGATACACTCCTCTCACTAAATGGAGCAATCAGCCTGCTCAAGGTTGAGCTCAGCTTCGGCCGGTTCGACAAGAAGGTCCTCAAGGAGACACAAGAGCAATGCCAGTACATGAACCAGTCGCTGGGAAGGCTTCTCGAACTCTCTACTTCCCTTCCCAAGGAGCTGCAGGACCGCCTCGTTCGCACAGTTGGCATCTTGGACGATCGTTCCATTGGAGATATCATGGCCGTGCTGGGTATCATTGAGCTGTCATTAAGGACTGGCTCTCCTCTACCAGAGAGATTACCAGCGCCGCTGGTCCGCAGGTTTTTCGACTCATGGTACGCACAGCATCGTAATGCCATGTTGAGCACAACGCTGGTACGGGATGAGAATTACCGGCGGTATTGCGTTGCGATGTCGTCATATCTCAAGTTCTTATCTACCATTGATGATTTGGTGCTGGTGCTCAAGGCAGGATTAGGGGAGTGTCATATTGTTTATCAGTGGGAAGATGCCTGAATTAAGATCAACGAGGGAAAATTAAAGTTAAACGCCGCCGCTTAATCAACAAGGCAAGTTAATAGTTAAGTTGCACTCTTTCTGTTGAGACTCTAAAAGCTGCAGCAGCACTCGCTACCTAGTTGTAGAGAGTATAACAGCGTTTTTAGACATGATCTTGAACTTGCTGTTTGATCCTATTTGCTTTAAATAAATATATTTCTTTCTACCATTACCTTTTACACCAGAGGCTGGGTTTGTAGAAGTGAGAATTTAACTACTGCAAACCAAGGGAAAGATTAAGGTAAGTGTAAAGGACTAGTAGTATTTAAGCATGACAAAGGCAATGATTTACATTAAAGTTCGGCAGCTGCTAACTTGTATACAGTTTTTGTAAGTTTGGTTATACTTGCATAGATTTTTGCAGGTGCATCTTTGAAGCAGTTGGAAGAAGAGTCTTTACTTTTAATATTAGTTCATAAGGTAATAAACAGCCATATCGCTTAGTTACTCTACAGTCTTGTAATTAAGTTACTTAACTTGCTTAACGCTAGACGTCTTAGTTATAACTGTCTTAGTGACCTTATAAGTAAAGACCAAAGTCAACTAATTTTTATTTATATAAGAGTAGTATATCTAAGTAATCTCTATATTGACAACATGGAGTTTGGAGATTCATCGATGTCAATTGTAGCCTTGCAATTTTAACCTTGTCGCTGACAGCTTTCTTTAGTTTGCGTATTTGCTCCAGGAACGTAGTCTCTTGCCGTACTATTAAAGGTGTTAGTTTACGATGGTAGGCTCATCTGTAGTAGAACTTACCCGCTCCAAAACAAATGGAAGAGGAACTAGGACAAGCGAGATGAAGCCCAAAGTGCTCGACGCCCATCCGATACCCAGAGACCTGATCATCTGAGGAGCAGCGAGGGGCAACGCTCCTCCAAAAGAGCTCCGAAAGAATGTGTTTCCGGCAAAAACACTTGCCACGTGTCTCGGATATGACTCGCCAAGATAATTCAGGACCGACTGGAAGGTGAGGTAGAACCCTGGGGCGAAGAAGGCGGTTCCAAAGATAGGCACAATCCAGTGGACACTGCACGTATCGTCAACGATCATTTCTTTGAGATGCAGGATGAATATTTGAAGTTCACCTTTCTCGAGACGTCCAGGCAAAGATGAAGAGGCAAATTGGAATGCAAACTGCCCCGATCTGTCCCGGTTGCAGACGGTCCTCGGGCTCTACGACGACCTCTGAGTCTGCTGCATGCGGTTGGTAGTAGAAGTAAAGCCAGAGGAGATACACTGCGACTGAAATCACTGCGCCAGTGAGGATCCCAAAGAAGGCGACTGTCAAGTTATGAGAAACCTTTGTTGTGCCAATAGTCAACGTAGGGGAGGAACTTACGCGCTTGCTGGATAGGGCTGAAGTGGTAAATCTCCCCAAACACCACAAAGAAAGCTGCGTCAATACTTAGAAGCACAGCACGACGAACTGAGGCTACTTACCAAATGGGAAGAATTCGAACCACAAGTAGAGTACGCCGTAGATAAGCATCGTGTGTATGTTGACCAACAGAATGACCGGGTCCATACAGGACAGTTTGAAGTCATCAATCGTCTGGTATACAATATCCAGGAAGAAATTGGGCCCCTTTGAATGCGTCTCAGCTTGGTATCGATCATTGGGCTTGTCGCATTGAACTTGATGACGCCGTGCTCGTCGATGTAGAATGTTGAGGGACAACGTTTCTGGCAGGAAGAAGAATGTGAAGACGGTGGTGAATGCTGTGATTCCAGCCAGTAGCCACAGGGTTGCCGTCCAGGTGTTCCAACGCGTGCTAAACGACGTGGCCAGTAAGTCAAGCGTACTCGTAGTAGCTACAAGCAAAAATTGGTGAGATACTAACACTACCAAGGTTCCAAAGATCTACCGACGGCGATGCTGTCAGCACACTACCATCTCAGGCCATGCAGAGCGACTTACAGGTCCCAGTATTGGTCCACAGACTCCGCTGACTGCATAGAAGGCGATCGCATACGGAAATGCAGTGGGTCCATATACCTCCATCAAAGTTGCGCCTCCAACACTGATAGGCGCACTTCCAACAAAGCCACCGATAAAACGAAGTATCAAAATCGTAGTGATATTCTTCGCAAGTGCCGTACCGATGTTCACCAGGCAGAATGCAAGGGATCCGAGGACGTAAACAGGCGTGCGTCCAATGGATGGGAGGTTTGATAGGGGAGAAAGCTGGTAAGGACGTGTCGTGTCAGTTTTGAAGTCAACAGAAGGCCCGCAGAGATTGGGCAGAGCTCCACCATACCATCAGAGGACCAATGCCATATGCAATGACAAAGAGTGACAGTCCAAGAGTGCCTTCAATGGTGCTGGCGCCGAATTTCTCCTCAATCAGTGGAATGCTGGGAGTGAAGATGGCCGATGCCGCGTAGAAGCTGAAGTTGAGGAACATGACATCTGCCATGACGAATGACTTCGTCAGCGATGGCCAGTTCCTTGGGATTGCCGGATCATCGGGTCCTGTGAAATCGAGGGCTGTTGGCTCTCTTAGATCTAAGCATGGGCCGCAAACAGTAGCTTCCCCCAAAGTCAAAATTTTGGGATATGGAAGTATCCTGTCGTTTGTAAGGGAGTTCAGAATGCGGCCAAAGAGGCTTTCGCGTAGTAGAATGTCCATGATATTGTCAGCCTAAAGTCCAATACAAAGATCAATGGGCATCAGAGATACCAGTGTCATTTTTTCATCATTGCCGTACTACGAGTATTTATAATACCTGCCCTATAAAATACGAACGATACAAAACGGAACTCCGTCCGAAGGAGTGGTCCCAGATCGGAGTCACGTGGTGGCGCAAGAGCTCATTTTTTCGGAACTCCGACCATATTGGTGGGTCGGAGGCAACTTCCAGCTTGCATCATCTATCGGAATTCCGCTCCTGCAACATTCGAATCATTGTCACATTGATTTGCGGCAAACAATTCGCCTCAGATGAACTCGACCAACACATCACCTCCAAAGCGTAAATCTGCGCCTTCACGTAAAAAGTCATGTCTGCAGTGTGCAAAATCCAAGATCCGCTGCGGCAACGAACGACCAGCTTGCGCTCGCTGTGTCTCAGCGAAACGCCAATGCAGATATGCAGCACCGCCTGAAGGTCCCCTCCCATCGACTGTCAGCTCTCGACAAAGCGTGCCGCCGCTTCAAAGCGTCGCGACCCCTTTACCGCTGTCAACCGCCTTGACGGACCCCACTGATATTCTTCTCGTGGGAACGACACTGGGCAGCCCATCGACGCCTCTTGCGACACAATTGCGGGCGTCTAGCAACGGCGTTGATACTTCTCTAGACTTCTCAAACTTGGACCTCGTTCCTCTTGCCGACGCAGACCAAATCCGCGATCGATGGCTGCGACCGTTTTGCTCCGTTGGGGAGCAGGTACCTAAGATATTCCTTCCATACACGTTACAGTATATCAGCTGTGTGCTTCGGGCATACCCAAGACAGATGACTGAAGAGAACGGCATCCCCCCAATATTCCATCCAATGCAAATAGCTGAGGGCAGTTCACCTGTTGCACTGGCAAACTGCTATAGCTTGGTTCGATTGTGGCAGCATCGGGCAACTGGGAGTGAAGCAATTGTTGCAGAAACAATTCAGCGGGAGATGGACCGACTTGCGCACTATGTAAGTTCTTACCAGCCGTGTGATCGAGGGAAGGGCGATGAATTATCGCTGACACGGCCGCTTAGGACTCGAATGTGGATGTGGGAGATCTCGACACCCTCGCCGCTTTTCAAGCGTACCTCATCTACTCCATCATGGCGTACTTCTTCCCCATCCAAGGAAGCCCTCTTGTCAATGATGCCACAATGGTTACTTTGCAGGAGATGGCTTTCCGTACCGCGCAGAGCGGATTGTTCTCTCAAGCCGAACTTGGCCGATCACGACCAAAGTGGGAATCTTGGATTGTTGTTTCGGCAAAACGCAGGGCAATTTTCGCTTTCTACCTGCTCAGCAGCGTGTACAACGCGGACAACTACGTTCCTAACTTCCTAGCGGAGGAGCTGAGAGAAGTCTATGTGCCAGATCCAAAACGGCTGTGGGAGGCAAGGACTCGCATTGAGTGGGAGCGCGAGTACAGTCAATATCTGTCTCGGTGGGAAGATGGACAGCTGAAAATCTCGGAACTCTGGTGGTCGCCGGATACAGGATCTGCGGAACGCCGGGAGAGGATCGATCGGTGGGTGCAGAGTGTGGATGAGTTTGGGATGATGCTCTTTGCTATCTGTACGCATCTTCACGGCTATTAGGCTTAAGCGGATTGGCAGGAAGAAGTAGCCCTCTTTTGGGCTCCGTCATGGCTTTTGTGGTCGAAGCACGCGTCCCGTCCTCTCTGTTGTGGGTCACAAGTCAGAGCATCCGGAACTCCGGGTCTGTGATGGACGTATGGAGCAAAACCTGGTGATTACTTGGAGACTGCGGCACGCGCCGTTCTGTTAGCCCAACCCGTCATACATAGTCCCACTTAACAGGTACTACAGCACATATGTGTTGGAAGCCATGCAACAGAAACAGTGTGTTTCGTCTCTAATCTGTACACGGATATGCTAGACCATTTCGGGCAATTCTAATCACCTCTCTACTCTCTTAGTTGACCATTACCAAAGCCATCAACCCAATCAGCCCAGCCACAAGCCCAATCTCCGCCCGCCTGGCCCCAGACGTATGCGAAGCCCCCGGCGTGCTCCCCGTGCTCGTCCCCGACCCGGAACTCCCCGAGCCCGAAGTACCATTACCACCACCCGTCGCCGCGGTAACCGGCCCCGCCAGCCCCTCTACCAACAACGCCTCCACTGCTCCCAAAACATCCATCTGCTCACCCACCCCAGTCGCTGACGGCTTAACAAACTTTCCATCCGCCCAATAAAACCCACACTGCCTCCCCGAATCCCCACCCGTACACTGTCCCACGGCCGCTTGAGCAGACGTCTTCAGCACGGCCAGGATCTTGTCGGCTGTGTAAGGAGCCAGCTGCGCCGCGCCGGCGAGATAGCGGTGCAGGTAGTTCTTGTAGGAGAACATGTCAGTCGTGCAGGTAGCGCGGGCCTCGCAGGCGACTTCGACCGCGATGTCTTTGGGAAAGAAGATCTTGAGGGTGGCGGTGGTGAGGCTGTCGAGGCGGGATTTCCAGAGGGTAGAGCCTTGGGTCTGTGGTTTGGACTTGTCAGTACGAAGTGCTTGCCTGGGATAGGGTCGGGGGGCGGGGGGAGGGATGAAGGGTATAAGGGATAACATACGTAGTTGTACATGTAGGCGGCACCCTGGGTCACAAGAGCGGCCGGGTATGAGAATTGGGCCTTGTTGATGTCGGTGCAGTTCCCCTCAACGTGTGCGCCGTCGAAGACTGCAAAGGTCGTGTTGTCGATGAAGCCAACCGAGGTAAGCCAGTCCCACGTCTGCACAGCCTGTTGCGCGTATGTTTCGTTGCCCGTGTATCGCGCGAGGCGGGCGCCGAGATTGAAGTAGCACCCGTTGGACATGGCTGCCAGAGGAGGTTTCAATCAGCACGGTGCCAAACTCCGGGGGGGGGGCTTGTTGTAAGCAGAGAAAACTCACTGTTCTTGTAGTTATAGCCGCTGTTGGAAAGCGGAACCTGCCACCGCAGCCCACCACCGCACGTGCCGTCATCGTAACGCACAACCATATTGTTAAAGACGTTCTCGGCGACGGCGACCCAGCTCGCTTGTCCCTTGGGCAGCTCGGGGAAATTGTTCTCTGCCGCAATCATGCTAGCCAGGGCCCAGGCGCACTGGTCGTCGTTGCCGAGCTGGGCAGTGACATTGGGCGGCATGTAGTTGTCGTTGGGACCCCGCTGGAACAGCAGCCCCTGCGTGACGACGTCGTTGTAGGTCTCGTCGCCGGTGACATGCCAGTAGTCGATGAAAGTGGCCAGGAAGCCTGCTCCCTCCCACCAGTAGTAGTCGCCGATGGGCGGGGGGCCTGGTAGGAGACCTGGCGTCTCGCCCGTCTGGTCGCCGCTGTAGAGCGCCATGAGATCGGAGGCGAGTGTCTTGGCCGACGCGACGATATCATCATGCGTCGCGATGCTAAACTTCTGTGCGGCCCCTAGCCCGGCCAAGAGAGTGACTGCGGTAGTTGTGTAAATCATCATGACGGATTTCTTGTCAAACGAGCGACTGTCATGGATTGAGGGACGGTTGGGAACCAAGATCACGCTGCGGAAATGGGACTCTCATGTTTTTGATGTTTTTTGTTGTAGCCTGCAATCCTGCATCCACCTGCGCTGTGCCTGCCCCCCCCCCCCCCCCCCCACTGCCCCTTGCACAGCCCCACTAAATCTTACAGCACCCTGGGCTAATACGAGAAACTGGCCAACGAAGGATTTAGAAGGCTTGGCTTGAAGGATCCGGGGTATATTTTCGCAGCCAAAATGGCTGATATGCCGGGCATCTCGGACACCCCTGTAATTAACCTCGGAGGTAGATTGATCCGTCCTTTCAAAAGATCAGATAGTTCTCCACTGCCAATCGTCTCTCAAAAGAGCATAAACCCGTAACAAAGGTCAGTCTATTTCCGGTTTAAACCACGTCATTCACGTAATCCGGCTTTATTTGAGCTTTGGCCAAATAAGGCACTGCTAGGTGTTGCAATGGCGGATTTGCGAACCTCTTCAATGTCGCTTGTTCATCTGCCTGGCCAGCATCTCCTGTTCCTCAATGACAATCTCCCGAGTAGTAATTTCTGCCCCTCAATTCCTTCGATGTTGGTCTTGCTGTCGCCACCTCTCTCCGTGGCGGAATCTTTCCTGTCTAGACCGGTGGTTTCTCGCAGCGTCAGCGTCTTTGTTTTCAACCCCCTTGCTAGTCGGAGCCTTGGCCTTACAGACGTTCGGATACTTGATTCCGCGTTCTGACCATGGGTTGACAACAGACAATCTTCCGGCTGAGCTGGAAAAGGCTCGAATCGAGTTATGCCCTAGGGTAGTTCGAGTTGGCCGAGATATGGTGCCACCTGGCCAGCCAGTACAGCAGCTCGATTTGGCATTACATCTGGATCGATCCTATAGAGCGCGGCTATCTGATCTGTCTGGACCGAGAGTTGGTGTAACAAGCTAGTGAAGAAGGCAGCGCTCCAAATGGATACAAAGAAATAACCGTTTCCAAAACCACTCTTACTGTATGTGCTATTTCTTCAACTCAGTACGATAAAGCATATCCTAGTTCTCAAAAACGTCCAGTGTTGAATACTGTCCTGTACCTCTAGGTTGGGTGCACTGTGGACGCTAAAGCTAGCGCGCTATGACGCTGTTCCCCCCTTCCCCCTGGAAATTACAGGGATTAATCATGGGGGGGGTTTGTTTTGGCACAGACGCGCAAGTTTGGAGCCAAAAGAGTCAACGCGTTACCCAAACAAACACAAGAAGACAAGACAGGAGTTGCTATTGAGCAAGTATCCAAGCCAAACCCCATTATCCAATTCATCTCTTCTCGTTCGTTTTGAGGCATATATTTGCAGTTTGCAACTATTAGCATCGCAATAATGGCATCCAGTCGCCCGCTAGGAAATATTGACGCCAACACCGTCTCCATTCCCCGTTCCCGACCTACAACAAAGAAGAATGCCGCCGCTTCCATTCCCACCATCGATCTTACAAAGGATGCCGCTGCGAAGCCCAAAGCCACCGCCGCCCCAAAGAAGCGCAAGTCCGATGCTATCGAGGAAACGGAAGACCTGTTCCCAGACAATGTCCCCGAGATTGACGACGACGACCCACGGATCACATACGCGGCCCCGGAAACCTGCAACGCCGTCCGCCGGAAGATCCGCAACTGGATCGAGTCTGGCGCGATGAAGGTTGGCGAATTCCAGACCGCCATTGGCGTCAGCCCCGGGGCATACAGCAACTTCATGAACCGCACGGGCACCTGGGACGGCGAGGGCTGCGCCGCCTACGCCAACGCCTTCCTCTTCTTCCGGAAGCGCGAGCTGCAGGGCCTACCGCTGAAGAAGGCCAGCAGCAAGCCCAAGAAGGCGAAGACGACGGCGGCGGCCAAGGACGCGGCGGCGGGTCTGTTCGATGTCAGCGGCGTCGGATTGCCCGGCGAGGCGGAGGGCAACGTCGCCATCTACGATACATGTGACGAGGTGCGGAAGAAGATCAGGGCGTTCCTCGCCAAGGACGGCGTGACTCAGGCGGCCTTCGTGCGCGAGATTTCCAAGACCTTCCCAGATGACCGCAAGGTGTCGGCTGCGAACCTACGATACTTCATGGGCCAGAAGGGCCCAATCAGCGGAAACACAAACTCGACCTTCTATGCCGCGTACGTCTTCTTCGAGAAGATGCGCATCAAGAGCGGCAAGCCAAAGTCCAAGTTCCGAGAGGAAATGGAGGGCGTGCATGGATATTCCGGTGTGGACACGGAGCATAACGGCAGCACGGGGTATTTCTGCTTGGCCGGTACGAGGCCGGTTATTGATAAATACGGCCGCCTTCACATCGTCTGAATGGTTCTAGGGAGAAGAGACGGGAATACGAGGATCATCATCTCAATTATTAATCCTGTGCTGGGCGTTTCTTCCGGTTGTCATGTTCTTACTCACCCTTTGTTGGACGCTTTCCACTTGCGTCCAGTGTTTATTTACAACTTCTTTTATAGCTCCCATATAATTATACTAATTATCGGCTATCTAAACTCTCACGTCTCTCGTCTCTTTCTCTATAATTGTAACAAACATGTTCTGGTATGACAGACCACCCAGCGACAGTATGAGTTTAGACCAACGGCACTCTAGGCCCAGCGAGGATGGAAAGTTCCCGAGCCTAGGAGAATGGATTACAAAGCCAGTGCAGCAGTAAACGGAGTAGTATTATTAATCAGCCTATTTCAAGGATATCATAGTGCTTTTGACCTCAGTAATCACCAAGTCGCGGTAGAACCATCACTCAGCGACTGTTAGCTCGTGGCAGTGCATATTCTAACGGGGTATCTTGCTCAAGGTAAACGAGCGGCCTTGAAAAATACGATAAATAGCAATCATCCATTTCTAGCATTACTACTCACATCTTACAACAGCAGCGACGAATCCATTTATGCTTTGATACACAATAGAAGAGTTGATCATAATAACCGTGGTGGACGACAGACCAATATGGCCCCTGGACCCGATACTCTCTCTCTCTCCGGCAAGATCGCCATCGTCACCGGCTCCGGCCGTGAGAATGGCATCGGTGCAGCTATTGCCTACGCCCTCGGACGCAACGGAGCCTCGGTAGCAATCAACTACGTCTCCGACAGCTCAGCCGACCGTGCTACCGTCGTAGCCAACAAGGTGAAATCGCTAGGTGGAAACGCCATCATCGTCCAGGCCGACGTCGAGACCGTCGAAGGCGCAGAGAAACTCATCCGGGACACTCTCGAGGGCTTCGTGACAGACAGAATCGACATCCTCATCAACAACGCCGGCTTCGGTGCTGGGCAGGGCATTCCGGCGACGGAGATCTCGGCCGCAGACGCGGAGAAGAACTTCCGATCCAATGCCCTGAGTAGCTTGTACGTCACCCAAGCAGCGGCCAAGCACATCCCCCAAGGCGGGCGCATCATCAACATCGGGAGTGTCGTCTCGCGGCTGGTCAACCTCCCCGGCGTGTCCGCGTACGGCGCGTCCAAGGCCGCCCAGGACTACTTCACCGCGTCCTGGGCCTACGAGCTCGGCCGCAGCAAGGGTGTCACCGTCAACACCGTCGCGCCGGGGCCTACCAAGACCGATGCTGGGACGTGGTATCCGGCCGGGGAATTCCAGCGGATTTGCGGTGCCAACATCTTGGCACAGTCGAAGATTGAAGAGCGAGCTGGCCAGCCGGAGGAGGTTGCGGATGTGGTGCTGTTGCTCACGAGTGAGCAGGCTAGGTGGATTACGGGGCAGTACATTGCGGCTAGTGGCGGTATTTCGTGGTAAACGAGAAGATTTGGCTATTGCTAAGGCGATCTTGCATGTTGGTTCAATACTTAAACTTCGTCCCCAAAGGTGTAGTCGTTGGTCCATCTCTGTTTCACGATAGGTCAGCCCGCTATGTAATTATATCTTTCCTCCTGCTCTGGGTTAAGAGACTTGGGAGAATGTGGGGTTTCTCAGGACTTACAGCGTCATATGGCCGCGAAGAGTTCACGTATCTCAGATCTGTACCGAGGCGGATCGTATTCTTGGGGCTGTGGTTGATCGTCGATGCATGAATCTAGATTTCCTGTAAGCATGCGATTCTCTTGGCGGAGGAAGCCAAGGAGAGAGACATACGGTGTAGGGTGTGTGCAGCATTACATCACCCGCCTCAAACTCAGTCACCAACCACCTCCTGCCGTGGCTCTCCCCAAACTCGCGCGGCCCGTCCGCTAGCAGCCCACCGCCCATCATGTTCCGGTTGAACGCGTTCTTGGCCTCGTCCTCCGTCAACCCCGTCTCCGTTGCCTTCTCGTAGAAGCCGTCCTCTATCTCCCGCCCCAGCTCGTGGCTCCGCTTGAGGTAGATCAGCCCGCCCCCGTCGAGGGCGATGTCCCCCATGGGCACCCACACCGTGACGCTCGTGTCCTCCCCGTGCCGCAGGAAGATCTGGTCGTAGTGGACGCCGATGGCCTTGTTGCCGGGGGTGTTATTCCTCAGCAGCGTGCGCCGGAGCGCGAGGATGTTATCGGCCCCCCAGCCGGTGAACCGGCTCACGAATCCGTGCAGCGCCGGGTGCTTGCAGAAGTCGTCCTTGTACTACGGCTCTGTGTGTGCCTGCAACGCGAGGTCCACAAATAGCCCGCCCCGCGGCCGACCGTTGGCGTCTGTCGAGCCTGCGCCGATCCCGGGGTAGTCGAGCTTGTCTTTGAACGCGTCGAAGATCCCGTCTACGGGGGCTGTGCCTGGCGCGAGAACACCACTCGGGCAAAGGACAGAGAAGTAGGCTTCCCGGGCTTTCAGCACGTCGGCGCGCGGGATCACTCCCTTGAGGAAGAGGTAGCCGTCCCGCAAGTACCGACTGCGTAGCTCGTCCAGCGGCTCGTCCGGGGACGAGGGATGGAGATAGCCAACTTGTTCGGGGTTTAGGAGGCCGTCGTTCACATATAGCGGGGTGGATGGCGTTGTCTCTGTGGCTGATGGCATTCTGTGTATGTGTAGATTACGGGGGCGGCGGCTTTGTACGCTTGACGGGTTCAGTTAGATAAATTAGCCAGGTTTTTGATGGCCAGGTGCTTGTACTTCAATAATTCGTAGAACGGGCTGGGATGATGTCTCATCTTAATCACTTGGTTCAAGAACCACAACTAATATACACCTGAAGAACGGCGCTGCGAGGGCTCATGTGACCCCAGCCCCGCAAACTGCTAGCGCGGGACATTTCGTAACCAAGCAACTGCAGTCTCTCGCCACGTGCCCCTTCGCAATGATCATCATGCGCATGGTTTTTAGGTCTCAAGACTGCCCCAGTTAGATGTAGAGGCGCGTAGTCATTAGTATAGAACAGGAGTCACATAACCACGTCTAAGAAACCTGCATTATTTGCAACTTGCGGTGTTATTTCCCTCTTCCTGCTTGTATGATCTTGGACGTCAGAAACCCGTCATTCTGCTGCTTCGAACCCTTCATCAACTTCCCGCGAAGTTCCTTGACAAGAGAGTCTGGGGGCGCAGAACCATGATCACTACGCCGTCGTTCTTGCTCGTCACGGCCGTCCCCCACGACTTCCTCTCCAGCCTCGTGGTACCTCCATTGTCATCTCCATGGACGTCCTCAAGGCAATCCTCTTGGAATTAATAAATACCCAATCTTGAACTCCTAGTCCGGTAGTACCACGCTGCTTGGGAACGCCATCCCGCTCGCGCCAGAACATCGCTCAGCCTCGAAATCCGATAAGTAGCCTCCTTGTTGCACCACACACTGTTCGTAACTTGATGGAGATTAACCGACAGAATACGCGTAAAACCACGGGTTATTCGTGTCTTCGTCGATTATTTCCACATATCAGAAAGCCTAGCTAGTAAATTGTCCGCGCCAGCGTACTTTTGACCACTGCCTTCGACCTAGCCGGCAAGGGAATTCCTCTGCAGGCATGTGCCATTTTCTCTGCAGGCCGGTGGCAAGTTGGCAGCAGCTGCATCGCTGTCACCATTGTTATTTCTAAAAACGGCAATAGCGATGGACAGCAACAGGCGTGACAGCGAGAGCAATAGACAGAAAGAGCGAGAGCAATAGACAGAAAGAGCGAGAGCAATAGACAGCAACGGCAATAGCAACAGACAGCGACAGCAAGAGCGATAGACAGCAACAGCAATGGCAATAGACAGCAATGGCAATAACAATAGACAGCGACAGCAATGGGCAACAGCAACAGCAACTGCCACCTGTGATTCACTAACCGCCTGCCCGCGGAGCAAATAGCGCATGCCCCTGGAGAAATTCCCGCCGGCAAATGCTCTGATGGCAAGGCCGCCGGAAGAGCAAGAAGCGCGCAGATGATTCGCCACCCACTGAGGGCGAGGAAGCCACCGAGAGAATCAAAGATCCCTTGACGCCCAAGGGCAAGGGGAAAGACAACGGGCCTGCCGAACTCGACGAGGCCGCTCAGGCGGAGGCATCAGCCTCGTCCGCGAAGGGCAAGGCCAAAGAACCTGGATGTCTCGTCTGAAATGCTTGAAGTCCCGGCATGATTCATCACCGTACTTCTTTCGCCGCATGCCGCTATTAACTAGATTTTGAGATGTTAGACCACTTCCGCTTAGCCACGCTGTGTTTTTCTGCTTCGGCGCTGAGGGCTCGGCGTGCGCTCAGACTCAGGCAGCGTTTAGCATACGTCAAGTAATCGGAAATCAAGTTCAAGTAAGGCAAGCGTGTCAAATCAAATTAGGCTATCTGTAAGTTAAGCAAAAGGCGTTACTTACTTGCCTAACTTGGTAAGTAATATAGGGTTTATTGATGTGGTTGTCTCTGCGGGCAGGGGCATCTAGCTATTCAGGCAGGGGCATTTAACTGTTAGGGCAGGGGCCATTGCCATCGCCATTGCCATCATAGTTGCTTGTTCTGTAGCTAGCAGCTGGTCTTTTTCATGCTCCAACTCTCTAAAGATTTTTGGCAGCCCAGAACCCTGCCCGAATAGCCAACTGCACCTGTCCGCAGAGACAAGCTCTACTTGCAAGTAACCAAGCCAAGTTAGGAAATAGCCAAGTAAGGCAAGTTGGATAAGTGCCAAGTCAAGTGAGAGGGCTGACTTGGTTGAACTTGACTTATGCTACACACTGGACTCAGGCAGGCACGGGCAATGGGGAGAGCGATGGGCGACATATCGTGGATGTCGATAGACCCTGGGACCCTGTCAAGGTCACCAGAGTGGTGATCTGAAGTTTCTCATCCGACGAACTTGAGGTGGGCGAGGCCGAGGGGGTCTGCGAGGAAGGATGCTGTGCGGGTCTGGTTTTGGGTTGTGGTGGCGGTGGTGGTAATGGTAATGGTGAGGGCGTGGAGGCGGATTGATAGGTCTGTAGCTTTGATGTGGATTGTTGATGCGTTGGTGGCTTCGTGGGATTCTTGGAGACCATTGAGGTAGTTGCGGAGGGCTTTTAGGTGGATTTGTTTTGGGAGGACGAGGAGGTTGGTGGGTGGGATGGTGGTTTCAGTTCTGGTGCATGCTGCTGCTGCTGCCCGTGTTCTGGTCTTCTTCCTTGTCGATCTGGGAACGGAGATCGATCATGTAGTCGAGACACTCAACCGTTTTAACAAGGTCGAGGCTTCGGAGTAGGGGCACCGGACTGGTGTTGTTTTATGGCAGGATGGTGGTAAGCCGAGTGCTAACTTTGTGCTCGACGTCGGGGATAAGGGTCGGAGGACTCGTCGGACGAAGGCAGAGATTGGCAACGAGCCCGACGGCGATGGTGGCCAGAATGAGGTGGAAGAGCCTGCTTCGGACCCAGCTGTCCACCTGGATACATCGAGACTGGATCGGAGAGTTGGCACACAAGGGAGAGTTGGCACACAACAGTTGGCACACAACAGTCGGGACTAGAGAGTCGGGATCGGACAGCCAGGACTTGTGAGAGATTGCAAGATGACAACCGGCCAACGGGATGGTAATTAATGATAAGTTAAGGGTTCTCAAGTTCTGCTGCTATCGAGAGAGACGAAAATTAAGGACCCTCAAGATGGGTAGGCGGAAAAGAGGAGGGGGGGAATGAGCTCGGGATTAAAGAACGAGTTGGTGTGGCCTATTTCTTCCCAGCATATGCAGGCAGCTGGGCCTCATTCATCAGCCGACGACAGGAGGAAAATTGCAAAGCCAGTCAGTGCCTTCTTCCTCTAGGAAGCTCCATCGTCTGGAAATTTCCCGCAGCTTCTCTTATTTTCCCAGCTCATTCGATCCACCGGCCTTCTCCATCCTTCGGACCAATGCCATGGACTCGGCCTCTGCGAGGCGAAATCTCCAACATCGCATCCAAAAATCTGACAGTTTGGAACCATGTATTGAACTAGTCTTCTGGATTCCTTCCGGTGTCTTCTATTCCGCCCTGCCGGCCTCGGAGAAGACCGACGAACTTCACATGATATATGACCACGCGGGAAGCCGCAGTGCCTGGGCCATGGCACCCCCAAATATGGAATGGAGCCCATACCATGTATGAACCCCGGTTTAAGTAATCGAAGCTCTTCTTGCTTGAGCTGTTCGTGCTCGGAGAGATCGACGAGGGTGATGATGCTAGTGTGGTTGCGTCGTCTTCTCCGTCTCCTCCGCCACCGCCAAGACATCAACCATGCCCGACGCCGACGATGGCGTGCGCTGGTTCCGAACATGATGCTCCGCCGGTGCTCCGCCACTTCCACCTTCCTCCGCTAACGTATGTGGCATAGTGGTCACACGCTGAAGCAGAGGTGTATCTAAGCGATGTGCGCAAGGAGTTGCGAAGCCCTAAGGTTAATTCCTACATCTTTTTGTAGGTATCATCCTGCTGCACTTGGGAGATCGAGTCTAACTTAGGCGCAGGCGTGTTGTTTACGGCCAAAGGCCCAAGGACTAACTAAGCAATCGAATTCCGTCGCGCTCGAGTCTATTTGCAACATTGTTGTTAGCAGCAGCCTTCTCATGTCTATCTATATAGCACCAGGAACATGCTATTTTCCTTTTCATTGCATTTTTGCTAGAATTAGTCGTGCCTATACTCCTACCATCTAGACATGATGTGATATAAATAGTTGATGTTTTATTTTGTGTTGAGAGTATAAAGATTACTTGATAATCTAACTTCAAGCCTATATATTAAGGCAACCACAATAATGATGACTAAGCGGTTTGCTAATTAAGCATCACATATGACTTATTTATAAGCCTACAAAGTAGCTAAGTCACGTGATTAATCCTTACCTTATAATTGGCATTTGAAGTCCAAAGAACTTTCCTGCCAAAGGCAACCCTAACCTTAAGGATAGGGTAGTATAAAGATTACTTGATAATCTAACTCCAAACCTATATATTAAGGTAACCACAATAGTAATGACTTAGCGGTTTGCTGATTAAGCATTACATATGACTTATTTATAAGCTTACAAGGTAGCTAAGTTATATGATTAATCCTTACCTTATAATTGGCATTTAAAGCTTAAAGGACAAAGGACTTTTCTGCCAAAGGCAACCCTAACCCTAAGGACAGGGTAGCCTTGCAAGTCTAGGGTAGCTTGGCAAGTTTAGGGTAACCTTGCAAGTATAGGGTAGGTGCAGAAAATCAAACTACCTAAAAACCTTTAAACCCTGTCAAACTACTTGATACGTATCACTACCTTGTAAGTGTGTGATCTACGTATTACTACTGATTCAAACAATCGGATCTTATAGACCTGGTCTGATTAGCCGATTCGAGGTATCAAGTTGTTTGATCTAGTAGATTAAGTAAAGCAAAAAGACTAAATTTTTACTATATAGTCAATTAAATTAGCTAGCTAACTTTGGTAAAATAATCATCATTAACCACACAATACAACTAGTCTTTTGCACCTTACTTGCCTACCTTACTTCCTGCCTTTCTACTGCTTACAGCAGTACTTTCACTAGTTAAATACTTTGCTTCTACAACCTACCTCTTTAGTCACAACCTAACCTTTTAAGGTTATAAGCCCAGATTGCTCAATCTCTTTTAACTAGTCAACCTACGCACCTTTCAACTTCAAACCTTGCTTATTAAAGCAACCACTAGTTTAGTTTCCTTCCTGTCACGTGATTTCCACTAATAACTCCATCCTCTTTCACATGGTATTTTCTGTTTTCTTCTAAAGTAGCTGGTTTACTCACAAGACACAAAAATTATCCTTTTTACTAAACAATCTTATCTTTCCAACCACCCTTTTTTTCAAAATAGACAGCAAAATCACTATTTCTCTTTTTACTAGCGCAGCCAACTACTTTACTTGGTTAATTTATGTGCTAGTTGCTTTGGAAATGAAGAATCTAGATCATTGCCTGTATAAAACTCCTAATTCTAAAAAAGAAGGTAACTTTAAAGTCTCTACTGCCAAAGAAAACAAACAAGCTGCAAGACTTTTAAAGCTTTTGTGTAGAAAAGAACTACTTAAACATATCAAGCACTTGAAAAAAGCTAAAGCTATATAGGATACCTTATAGCAAGCTTATAAGCTAGAAGGTTTTACTACTAACTACTTGTTATTTAAGGAATTCTCGCAAATTTAACTAGCAGATTTTGCTAGTATAGACGCATTTATCACTAAAGCTAAGGAGCTAGTGACTGAATTATACTAAAAGGGGTGGAAATTTAATGATAAGTGTATCTTTAGTTGGATTTTAAATGCCTTGACTAATTGATACAAAGGATTTGTAG